AATTTCAGATGAAAATTCAATTGGGAAGTTAGTCAAATGTGAAATTGAAAAACACTGCGCCGGTTAAATATAAAACGCGTTGTTTTTAAATAGTTTATTTAATTTTCTTTCCGGTTGAATTTTAAGCTGAAATTTTGTGAACATAAACTAGATTTCATTAAAAAGATATTTTAAAAAATTCATCAATTTTTTTTATCAGGAATGGTCTCATATGGCGTTGACCGGATGAAAGGTCTTGTTAGACTGGACTGAAAGGATCACTACTCTATTGCGAAAGAAACCCAAATGCGGGATATGAGGCACGTAATTATTATGTTTGGTAAAAGTTATATATGGAATAATTTATATAAAAAATTCTTTACGCATGTATAACCCTGCATTTTGCACCTCTGGTTTAATATAGATTATAGACTTTGAGGAATCTCTAAAACTTTACATATATTCCTTACGAAAACTCAGTGTAAACGAATATCCTTGAATGATTTCGTCTTTGGGGTCCCTCGGGCCAGCCCTCTGGGACTTCTCCTTGAATGATTGAGCGTGGTTAATCTGATGCCTGGCGTCGTCTTCGTGGAGGAGGCCCTTGCCTTTGTCTCGAGGGGGAGGTCTTTCCTCGGCCCCCGAGACGGAGCCCCTGCTTTCCTGTGGCCTGCTGGTTGCTTTTCCACCGAGGCGGTCTTGGACCCCTCGGCGTTCCGGAGCTCCCCCAGTCTTTCGAGGGCGAAGGACTGAAAGGATCACTACTCTATTGCGAAAGAAATCCAAATGCGGGATATGAGGCACGTAATTATTATGTTTGATAAAAGTTATATACGGAATAATTTATATAAAAAAATCTTTACGCATGTATAACCCTGCATTTTGCACCTCTGGTTTAATATAGATTATAGACTTTGAGGAATCTCTAAAACTTTACATATATTCCTTACGAAAACTCAGTGTAAACGAATATCCAAAATAATGGGGAAAACTGTCAAATAAGTCCATCTAGTATAGTGAAAACTTTAATTCAGCCCTCATACTGTCAAAACACTCAATCAAGCCCCCCAACTACTAAAAAACCTCCAATCAGACCTTTTAGTCGGTTAGAAACCGGTAATGGCAATTGTTACTTACGTGTCCAATTATGTGTGTTTATTTTTTTCTTTTTCTTGAAATAATTCGGTAAATTATAAGGTACATCCGGCTGTACTAAGAGGAAGGTACAGCCGGCATTTTTGTAATTAGTCATAACACGTAGGGTAATAGATAAGTTCTCCTCCTGCACTGCAGTTTCATTTTTTCCACCGCATGCCATACTCCTCTTTTATTTTCCATCTGATGGCTGCTACGGCTTCAATGATAACTCCTCTTTTTTTTTCTTGTTTGTTTTTTTGTTTTCTCTTTTCGGTCGTTGCTTTTCACTTTCTTGCTTTTTACTTTTTACGTGGCTTTTGAGTTTCATTTCATTTGTTGTTTTCTTTTTTAGTTCATTCTTTTCTCAATTTTTTTTTGTGTAACATGCTTTACTTTTTTTTATTATTATGTAAATGTACAATCTAAAATTTGATTAATGTTTGAGTTTGATTTTTCTTCTTTTTCCAATCAACTTCTAATTTAAGTTTTTCTTTTTAATTTTTGCATTATAAGATATTTTAGGTATTAGTGTTTTGTTCACCTATTTTAAATTTTAAGATGAATTTTGTTAGTTTATAAATATTATGTGTTAATTACTAACATGAGTTTTGTGTTCTACTAAAATGAGTATAGTGTAAAATAAATGTGTATGAGTAAATATCATAAAAACAACATGATTATATTTGTAATTCAAGAACAAAATACTATAAATTATTTCTAATTTAAAATTATTATATTTCTCATTGTAAGTTAAATTATTATATTCCAATACTCATTTTATAAGTTACATATGTTTATCTGGTACAGATTTTATACTCATTTTAAAATGTCATATTAATGCATATTTCTAAAATCTAAAGTATCATTTTAGATTCGCATAAGAGTTAGATTATATACATGGAAGCAGAGATCATGATACTCAATTGCATGCTTCAGACACTCATTAGAGGAGGTTTGATGTTCAATGAAAATGTCTTGATGCTCAACTAACAAAGCTTATGATTTTCATATCATTGCTCATATACTGATGTTATGTTCATATTAAAATGTTACTACGTATATCAATGCGTATTTCAAAAGTAACATATTACATTAGATTCAAGTATGAGTTAATTACAGATATGAGAGCACAGACCATGATATTTAATTGCATGTTTTTAATACTCAATAGAGGAGATTTGATGATCAATGAAAATGTCTTGATGCTCTCTCAAGTCTCACCTATAAAAAAACTTATGATTGACATACTAATGCTCATTTTATAATTTATGAATGTTCAATTGGTCCTCAATTGCATGCTTTTAATACTCAATAGAGGAGGTTTAATGCTCAATGAAAAATGTCTTGATGCTCAACTAACAAAGCTTATAATTTTCATATTAATGCTTATTTTGCAAGCTGCATATGCTCAATCGATATTGATGTTATTCTCATTTTTAAAATGTCATATCAATGCACATTTCAAAAGTATCATAATACATTAGATTCACATATTAAACTTCATATGGATTGATTGTAGATATAATTTATTAAGTTTCTATAAAAGAAAAAATATAAAAAGAAAGTGAATTAAAAGATATGAAGCAGATATTATGATGCTTACTATTAATTAAACTCCTAATATTCAATATAATAGGTCTAGTGCTAATTAAAAGTTCATTATACTCATTTAACAGAAAATGTTATTTTCAACTCAATATATATAAGAGGTTGATGCTCAATGAAAATGTCGTGACATCCAACTAACAAACCTTGTTACTTTCATATTTACGCTCATTTTGTAAGTTACATATGCTCACTTGGTACTCATGTTATGCTCATTTTAAAATGTCATAACAATACATATTTCAAAAGTACCATATTACATTAGATTCGCATATTGAAATTCATAGGAATTGATTATAGATATAATTTAATGAGTTTTTATAAAAGAAAAAATAATAAAAAGAAAGTGAATTACAATATATGAAATTGATATTACAATACACATTATTGGACTCTTAATGCTCAATAGAATACGTCTGATGCTCATTAAAAAGAAAAGGAAAGTGAATTACCATATATGAAGGAGAGATCACGATGCTCATTATTTGACTCTTAATGCTCAGTATCATATGTCTGATGTTCATTAAAAGTGTAATAATGCTCATATAACGAAAACCGCGATTTTCACTGAAATTACGAAAATGCCACCGTTTTTTAGTTGTGATATCAGCTTTCTTGTAATGACACGATGCTCATTATTAGACGTTTAATACTCATTAAAATTGGACTATTGGTCATTAACAGTACACTAATGCTCATTTAATAGAAACCGCGATTTTCACATTATTACAAAAATGTCACCGAATTATTTTACTGTTTTTCTCTTGGGCCTGTTTTTGGACCGGTTGTACGGTGCTCGCCGTACAATATACGTACTCAAATAATTCATGACATGTTATCACTACCACCAAAAACTAAAAAGTGAGATCAGATATTGCAGAATAGTTCTTCTCCTGTGTAACAAAACTGCACCCGCCGCTTCTGATTTCTCATGTCCCCTTCCCTCAAATTTTTTCTCCATGTTTTCACGTTAGTACTGCTTCTAGGAGAAGAGCTCAAATCCAAAAGCAACTCCACCCATCTTCTCCAAATTATTACTGTAGTAAATTTCTTACAGATGATACCTCTTTTCATTCTCACTCTTTTTTTTCCTTCTTTGATTTGGGAAATTGGATGTGGATGTAGGGCAGTCTCCACTCTCCATAGCTTCTTGAGCCGAAAACCGACCGTTTCCGCCAGAGAAAGAGCCGATGCCAAGTAGTACTGAATGTTGGTGTTTCTCTTCTTGGGCCTCGGATGAACCTTCATGGCTTGAACAATCTCTGCGAATTAAGAACTAGGAGGGATTTGGTGAACGAGAGAGGGTTTGAGAAAGTGGAAAGTTGAAGGAAGAAGTACTGTTTAATTTGAGTTCAGAATGACAAAGGAAGTTGCAAAGATATAAAAGGAAGACGGTAGACGGAGGATTCAAGGGCGGTGCCGGTGTACGACGGTCTGATTGAGTGTTTTAATAGTACGAGGACTTAATTGACGTTTTCACTATAGTAGAAGAGCTTATTTGACAGTTTTCCCAAAACAATATATTTCACTTAATGATCATTAAAGTTCAACGGAATGATAGCCTTGACTACAAATTAGAAAAAGCGCTCAATTTAGATGTTCTATTGATGTAGACGACTAAGAAGATCTTGATGCTAAGGATATTGGAAACATTCATACATGAAAATGTCGACAGAAGTCTGAGTTTGAATTGAAATTGAATTTCAACAATGTTTTGAAAGGTCACGATATTTTAAAGAAATAATAATTGATTCCTAATGACTTACAAAAGTGTTTTTATATATCACAGCTGGTAAAGATTTGAGAAGCATGAGTACATATAATTGATAAAAAAACTGTGTTTAGTCTACAAAAATCTTACAGAATCTGCACAAGTCTTGATGAAATGACGCACACACTTCAATTTAGTGTGGATGTCATCCAATATAATCTAAGTTGGAATACTCTAGGCTTCACGAACCTCCCTCGTCTGGGAGGTCTTGTGTCATCACTTAAGATAGGAACCTAGGGAATTGTATAAGTGACTCATATTTACTTCTCTAAGAGTTTTAGTCGGGTTCTTGGGATCCTGAGATTAATCCGACAAAATCAAGTTCACCATATCATATGTCTAAAACAAAAAATTAGATTACTCGTCATTGGTGCGTGAGGCTAACCGCAACCCAACCCGTCAATAAATCTAGAAAATTGCTATGGGTACCCCAACTATACCCCATTTCATACCCCATATAAAACCTCCCCTTTTTACCATCCTTTTTACCCCCTTTTCTCTCACATCTCTCCTACTCCACCCACTCTCTTCTTTTCCGTCAAAAACACTCCCCCCCCTTCCTTTGTTCGAGGCTGCTACAGTACTTCCACAAACCTTCCTCCATCTTCTTGGATGGATATCATGGGGACTGAGGTGCATTTGGACGAGTTGAGTGGGGAAGAAGGTCAACTGAATGTTTTGACATGGGGAGATGACGTGGGTGACGCCGTGGGTGACGGTGGTAATCTCTCAGCTCCGGTGGGTGTTGAACTGAATGCGACTTCAAGGGAAGCAGTTGAAGAAGGTGTGGAAGTTGAAGCTTTGGACTGTTTGGAGAAGGGTATGTTGATTTTTCCTCATTTTTTGGTATTTCGTTGGTTAGACAGACAACTTGCATTTGCAGCGTCTGTCTAGCCTAAACTCAACGTGGTTTCATACTTGCTTTCAACTGAACGTGGTTTCGTGGTTGGTAGAGTGGTACATAAAATGTGGGTGCGGCCAGACAACTTAAAATGTTTGTCTGCGTGCGGAAATGTCTGTATTCGCATGGGAAAAAATGTATATGACTATGTATAAGCATGTATGTATTCTACTGCACGTTTGTGTTGTTTTACTTGAGTAAGTATTTTAAGTAAAATGATGCAGTGAACATGTATAGTTCTATTATGGTAATTCTGTTTGAAAGTGATGCATTATATTAAGTGTGTGTTTAAGTGAACATGTATCCTTTGATTAAATAACAGATGAAGAGGAAGAAGAGATTTGTAATAAAGTTCCCTTTGTTGGCATGGAGTTCCCAAGTAAAGATGCAGTGCATGACTTTGAAGTTGGTTGGAATTCTCATTTGGAAAGGTGATAAACATTAGTAGTCCGGGACATAATGCTTACATGTCAAACTGACAGACAACATTTGTCTGTGCCAGACATCAATAGTCTGGGACATAATGCTTGTATGTCAAACTGACAGACAAAATTTGTCTGTGCCAGACATTAGTAGTCTGGGAATAATGCTTGTATGTCAAACTGACAGACAAAATTTGTCTGTGCTGGACATTAGTAATCTGGGACATAATGCTTATATGTCAAACTGACAGACATAATTTGTCTGTGCCAGACATTAGTAGTCTGGGACATAATGTTTATATGTCAAACTGACAGACAAAATTTGTCTGTGCCAGACATTAGTAGTCTGGGAATAATGCTTGTATGTCAAACAGACAGACAAAATTTGTCTGTGCTAGACATTAGTAATCTGGGACATAATGCTTATATGTCAAACTGACAGACAAAAATTGTCTGTGCCAGACATTAGTAGTCTGGGACATAATGCTTGTGTATATCAAACTGACAGACAAAATTTGTCTGTGCCAGACATTAGTAGTCTGGGACATCATGCTTGTGTATTGGTTGTAACTAATGTGTTGTGTATTCATTATAGGTATTCACTTCAAGATGATGAATGGCTTAAGGTCATGTTTGAAGAACGCCAAAGGTGGGTACCTTGTTACTTGAAAACTTCATTCTGGGCAGGTATGTCCACAACTCAACGAAGTGAGAGCATCAACGCTTTCTTCGACCTTTTTGTGCACTCTAAAACAAGTCTAAAACAATTCGTGGAGCAATATGGTTGTGCCTTAAAATTTAAGGCTGAAAAAGAGTTTCAAGCGGACGCAGAGTCATTTTCAAAATTGGTACCGTGTGTTTCGAAATTTCCTATGGAGAAACAAATGCAAGGAATATACACAATGGCGAAGTTCAAGGAGTTTCGAGATGAAGTGGTTGGCAAGCTTTATTGTGACATCATTCAATGGGATGGCGGTAAAATTTATCATGTCAAAGAAGAAGTTAAAATAACAGAGGACTTTTACAAGACTGTTTACTTCATAGTGGAATATGATTCTGGCTTGTGTGAATGCAAATGTAGTTGTCATTTGTTTGAATTTAGAGGCATTGTGTGTAGACATATGTTTATGGTTCTACAGCGTATACTCTGCCAGACAAAAATGAATGAATCAAACATCCCGAGACAGGCAAAAAATGTGAATAGTTTGTGAATGAATCATACATGGCGTTTGTGAATAGTTTGTATGTAGTTAAGAATGCATCAAACTTCCGAGACAGACAAAAAATGAATACTCTGCCAGACATATTCACATACCGAGACAGACAAAAATGAATACCCTGCCAGACATATTCACATCCCGAGACAGACAAAAATGAATTCCCTGCCAGACGTATTAACATCAAAAACTTAATTGCATTTGCTGAAATTATGATCATGTAACCGCTTTTTCTCAAATGCCACCTTTGTATAGTTTGCAACAAACACAAAAAAAAAAAAACATAATGTTCCACACACATCGTACAGGGAAATTCATGGTGTTTGCAAAGCTGGACTATTAACCTACAAAAATAGGCTTCCCAAGCTAATGAAGAATTCCTATGATTCCTCCACCTTCTTCACTCCCCACAATCGAACAGCATATTGGCATCTCTTGTTCCACATGTTGGCATACTCACAACCTGGAAGCAAGTCCTTTCCCATTAAAAGATGCTCTGCAAAGGCTGCAATCATCACTCCGCACTCTCCTGACCTGTAGACAGACAATTACAAAGAAGACAGACATTTACCATATGCAGACAGACAATATATGTAATGTAAATAAAGTTTAATGTAATACCCTCCACCCTGTTGGGGAACACCCTCAACTAACTCAGCAACCCATGGTTGTGCTTCACCCTCTTCCAGTGACATTGTAAACACCCGATGGAGGTAGGGCAGGCATTCACACAGTTCCCTAACATAAAATACACTTCTTGCCGTCTTCATTGAGTCATAAACCCTAACCCGTTTCTTATCAATGACAACTTCAGCCAAAATCCAATGCTTGTTTTCAATGTTCAAAGGAATTAAAACCTGGCCACAAAAAATAAAATTGGATTAATCATTTAAAGTATTTGTAGCATTGAGTTAACAATTTATATTTTACCCTTTCCAATGATCGCCAATCTTGTTTGGTTAAAAGTTTGTTTGCAGCCCAATCTTTGACATTGCCTTCGGACTTCCTCATTATTTGTTCCTACAAAATGCTTTATGTATTAGTTGGTATTCGGTTGTACAACGGTTTACCCTATTCATACTGCAAATTACACCTATGTAATCTTATACGTACCACAAGATAGGGGCTAAGTATTGTGGTGTTATCTGGCGCATTGTCTCTATTCAAAATGAATGGATGATTTGGCCAGAAAATTGCATGTCTGGCACGGATACTAGGTGGCCCCATGGCAATTTCTTAAATTCTTCTAATTGATCCTTTGTCAGCGCAGCTTTGACCAAGCTTACAGCCTCTCTGAAATATGAGCACATAGATAACTGGGCTGGAAAGTGCTTGCGAAATGGAATTTGTACTTCGAATGACCTGTTTAATTAACACAAATAAAAATCAAACATTTCAGACAACTCAGAAGGAAGGACAGACATTTTATATCACTTGACAGACAAGTATGTTCATAGGACAGACAACGTCCACAACAATATAAGCAATTTCAAATCACATGCACAACAAGTCTATGTCAAAATGAGGAGCCAGACAATTTTAATGGTTTGCCAGAAAATTATGTCTGTCCTTAGTAAGAAGGTTATATAGTTGAACATATTAATGTTTAAATTTGTGTTGAATATTTCGTAACAAGGTTATACGGTTGAACAAATTAATGTTTAAATTTGTTAGACATTAATGCAAGAAAAACTGATGAGTAAAAGAAGGTTATCTGGTAAGAATGATATTTTACACTTGGAGTTCATACTTAAAACCAGAAACCTTATAAACCAAGTTTCATATTTCAGAAAGCTGAAATCATACCAAAGGGTATGCTTTGATAGTTTGACACATTACTTAGTTTTTAAACCATTCATAACTCAAAAATTACATTCAAAGGTCATAGATTATAAAGCATTCATAGCTAACAAAATTTACATTTAAAACATCTCATTAACTAAACTTGCCAGACTCTGAGGGTGTTCATACTTTCAACTATGGAAGCTTTCCCGACAACTATATATGTTCACCTAACAGACAACTACACAATAATTTTCCAGACAACTATGTTCACATGATAAACAACTACAAATGGCTTGCAAGACAATTCATTTCAAATGACAGACATCTCATACGCCTGGCCAGACAACTCTAATGACATCCCAGACAACTTTCAAGAATTCAAAATGCAGTGACACACACAACCAAACAACCATGCACAGACAAGTTCAAAGTGTTCAGACAAACACAATGACAAACAACACAAAATTTACACACCAAGATAATATCAATTCAAAAAATCCAAAAAAATTGAAAAAATTACATACCTTTCAGCCATATGTGTTAAGCTTGAACAATGGACCTTAAAACCTTCACGAGGGCGGTTCGTTTGACGGTGGTGAACAGTGCACGACGGTGGTTCCTTCCTTGGGTTTCCGAACTCGTTCGATTTGAGGTGAGGCCGCCGGTTGTGGGGGTGAGGCCGCCGGTTGTTGGGGTGAGGCCACCGGTTGTGGGGGACGAGTTGGGAGGGGGGCAAACTTCGACGGTGGGGAGGGGGAGTGGTTTTCGAAAGTGCCTGGGGAAGGGAAAAGGTTGGGGGGATATTTGGTGAGGGGGAGGACAACGTGAGGGAGAGAGAATAGAATGGAAAGGGGGGTAAATTTTTGGAAAGACTTTTATATGGGGTATGAAATGGGGTATAGTTGGGGTACCCATAGCAATTTTGATAAATCTAATCTAACCCCAGTTTATACGTATTCACTCAGTCAATTCAATTTTTCTCTGCAACCCAACACCGTCAATATATTCACTCAACACATTTTTTTAGTTAAATCCTTACTTTTATTATTATACATATTATTTTTTTCGAAATTCTATTTTTGCAAATAATTATGATTTAAAATATCAAACATTTCGATGTAAAAATAAATAAATTTGGAGAAATTTTTCAACCATGCGATCTATTTTTGAAAAATAATAATTGAGAGGTGTAAAAAAATATTTTAACAATGAAATCTTAATTTTAACACTTGAATGTATTTGAGAAAAACGTTAGATCCACAAATCTCTAGTAGATGAAACTAGAGGGATTTTTGATATAAAATCTCTAGATGAAACTACGTTAGATCCACAAATCTCTAGTAGATGAAACCTCATATGGAAGGTTATAAAAAGTTATAAATTTTGATATATTTTTTATACAAATTAGAGTATAAATAAATAAAAGTTATAACACTTTAAAGAATAATAATAATAATTTCACATGGGCCCCATGTTAATCATTTCTCCTACGTGCATCACATCTAGTCCATGGGCCCATTTTTTGCATTTACTTTTTGGGTGAATAGGGTGTGAATTGCTAACACCCAAGGTCTTATCCATCCCATTACAAGACCTTCATATACGGTTTTTGTCTTGGGTTGCAGCACTCATGGAAGTCAATAGCTTCCAATTAGCTTTTTGACTCTATGCAATGCGGTTAGCCTGAGAGGCTTACCATGCAAAATCCAAGTCGGTATCAGAAGTGGGTCATGAGTAGGTCCAGCCCTAACATTTTAAAAAACATTCAAAATGAAATAGGAGGTCCCAAAATTAAAAATTATAAAATCTAAACAAGTACTAAGCAAGTATAAGATTTTAAAAAGTATGTTCATTTCTCATAAGTTGATTAAATTAGTAGGGAAAATAGAGATAAAAATGAAAAACAGCTACTTGCACACAAAATGTGTACAAATTTCATACGCAAGTAGCACGGCTGGATAAAAAAATAGAGTAATGGAGTAAAAATATGGTACCATGCATACACTAATAAGCAATCGAGAAGGCCTAGGTCGAGCTCTACGAAGGAGCTTCTCCCAAACCTAATTGACAAGAGTTTAAACAACAAGTTTTAACAATTTGATAAAAGTTGATTATTAGTTTTTTATTTTATATAATAATTTGTTGTGACTAATTAATGCTAAAAGATACATACATCTCTATAGATTTAAAAATATCTTACAATTTTAAGATCAGACAAGTCTTAAAATAATGATTGCACAATCATGCAACTAAGATCTTTCAGAAACTTTTTAATAGTACATAAGTTAGAAACTTAGAATGCATAAACTTAATAGGAGTTCTAACCCTTACTCTTAATTGCAATCAATTTAACATGTATTTTCATTTATGGTTCTCTGAATTGGGTTCATCTAGGCATGGACCGGTTCCGGTCCAACCGGCCCGGCCCGCCACTGTGCGGGTCCAGACCGGCCCGGAAACCGGGCCTAGGACCGGCCCGAGGTGTTAGGGCGGGGCGGTTTCGGGCTTGCCCTTCCTTTGGAACCGGCCCGGCCGGTCCGGGCTCAGTCCGGGCCTACAATTTTTTTTTTCATTTTTTCATTTTTTTGGTTGTAGTCGGGTTGGGTTGGGTGTTTTGGAGGGGGGTTGGGGTTGGGGAGTGGGGGGGGGGGGGTTGGGGGTTGGGTGTTAATTAGAAAAGAAGAAGAAAAAAAAGAACCGGCCCGGCCCGAGACTGGCCCGGACCGGTGGAATCCCGGGCCTGTTCCGGGCCTTTACCCAACAATAAAAAGCCCGGTTTGGACCGACCTGGAGCCTGGTCCGGAACCGGTCCATGCCTAGGTTAATCCCTCTATTAATCGGATCAATAAATTTGGAGGTAGGAAAGGAGAAGAATTGAAGTCACTTGATTTCCTTTAAAATCACATTGAATTGAGTTCTTAAGACCATTTGATTAACAAAATTTTGGATGGTTTATTATAATATAAATAAATGAAATTGATTCATTAATAAAAGTACCCCAAGTTTGAGACTTTGAGCTAAACAACGAGACATCACGTTGAACTCTCTGAGAAATGACTCTCTAACTACACTCTCGTCCATTATCTGCTCGGAGCTTCAATTACCTTAACATTTAACAAGGTCTGGAAGCGTCGTATTTGGACCAATAATACATTTTGAAGAACTTGTTCATG